TAGCCAGGATGGTCTCGATCTCCTGACCTCGTGATCCGCCCGTCTCGGCCTCCCAAAGTGCTGGGATTACAGGCTTGAGCCACCGCGCCCGGCCTTGTTTGTTTGTTTTGAGATAGAGTCTTGCTCTGTCACCCAGGCTGGCGTGCAGTGGCCCAATCTTGGCTCACTGCAAGCTCCGCATCCCAGGTTCACGCCATTCTCCTGCCTCAGCCTCCGGGGTAGCTGGGACTACAGGCGCCTGCCAACACGCCTGGCTAATTTTTTGTATTGTTGGTAGAGATGGGATTTCACCATGCTAGCCAGGATGGTCTCGATATCATGACCTTGTGATCCACCTGCCTTGGCATCCCAAAGTGCTGGGATTACAAGCATGAGCCACTGCGCCACGCCTGGAAAGATTATTTCTGTATTAATACAGCATTGTATAAGGAACAAGTTACAAAATAGTATATTACATTTTGAGTCCATTTTAAAAACCACTACTTATATATAAATTCGAGAAGAAATGACTAAGAGAACTTTTACCCACCACTATAAATTGTTCCATCCACTTTGAAAAGCACTTGGGGATTTTCCAGTAACCTTGACGATACACATTTTATATATGTACATGTACATATACATATACACACATAGATACAGATACACATATGTACATACAAAAGCAACAAGTAGTAATTCAGTTTTACTCTTTACCACACACAATTTCTTCAGTGGTAATTTCACTCTTTACTTTCCTGTCTGCAGTGTAGGCTATGTAAGTTCCACTGCAAGGCCTTGTGTTTCTCCAGTATCTTTTCAGTTTGTCAGATAGCATCATAAAGTAGAAAAAGAAAAGAAATGAACACCATTGACCCAGCAGGCAATCATGGCTTGCTAATCACGTTTCCTAGTCATGGTTTTAAACCTGAGTCGTAAATAGATTTCTATGGTAGCTGTCCATTGTTTAGTAGGCTTTTGTGGTATGTTAGTTTTGATAATGTTTACACTTAAATTTTAGGAAATCTAAACTATTTTATACTGTATCTCTAAATACAACTTTTTGGTTTATTTGATATAGGAAAGCCATGGCAGAAAAATACATTATGACATCTGCAAAACTCATTGCTCCTGTAATTGAAACATCTTTTGCTGCAGGTTATGATTGGTAAGAGAGAAAGTCTATAATACTGCATGGATATGGTTGTTTTCATAATTTATACTTTTAAATTTAAATTGTCATTAGAAAAATGAATATAAATGTTGATTCATATTTATCAAGCAGATAATATTATGTTAAGATTAATATAAGCTATTTTAAAGTTCCTAATAAGATGTTTTTCTTATTACTCATGTTATTTTGTAAATAAAGTAGTTATATACCACATTTCAGTCAATAATGGACCATACATATAACAGTGGTCTGGTAACATAGGAAGCTGAAAAATTCCTACCACCTAGTGACAGCGTAGATGCCTCGAAATTGTAGCACAATGCATTATTCACTTGTTTGTGGTGATGCTGATATAAACAAACCTGTGCTGCCAGTTGTAGAAAAGTGTGCAGTAATAGCCTAGGCCTTCACATTCACTCAGAGTTTATTTTGTGACTCATCCAAAGCAACTTCCATTCCTGGAAGCTCCGTTCATGGTAAGTACCCTATACAAGCATGACATTTCAAAAATCTTTTATACCATATTTTAATTGTACCTTTTCTATGTTCAGATAGATTTAGATATACAAATACTTAGCATTGTGTTATATTTGCTTATAGTATTCAATATAGTAACATGCTGTGGAGGGTTGTAGCCTAGGAGCAGTAGGCTATACTGTATAGCCTCGGTGTGTTGTAGACCATGCCATATAGGTTTGTGTAAGTACACCCTATGATTATTTCCACAATGACGAAATTGCCTGATGACACAGTTCTCAGAACATATCCCTATCATCAAGCGATGCCTTACTGTACAGTAAATACATAAACCAGTAACATAATCGTTTATTATCAGGTATTATGTACTGTACATAGTTGTATGTGCTGTGCTTTCATAAGACTGACACAGTGCGGTAGGTTTGTTTACACCAACATCACCACAAATGTTGTGATGCTGTGTTACAGCACCTAGGATGTCATTTGGCAATAGGAATTTTTCAGCACCATTATCTTATGGGACCACTGTTGTCTATGTGGTTGGTCCTGGACCAAAGCATTTTTTTTTTTTTTAGAGATGGAGTCTTGTTCTGTCGCCCAGGCTGGAGTGCAGTGGCACAGTCTCCACTCACTGCAACCTCTGCCTCTTGGGTTCACGCCATTCTCCCGGCTCAGCCTCCCGAGTAGCTGGGACTACAGGCGCCCGCCACCACGCCCAGCTAATTTTTTGTATTTTTAGTAGAGACGAGGTTTCACCATGTTAGCCAGGATGGTCTCGATCTCCTGACCTCATGATCCGCCCGCCTCATCCTCCCAGAGTGCTGGGATTCCAGGCATGAGCCACTGCCCCCGGCTGGATCAAAACTTTCTTACGTAGCATATGATTGTTGTTCATTGGAATTGCCCTAGTTACTTGTTAAAAGTGCAGATAATCTGGCTCCCTACATCTTTCTCTGTAGATCTGAGTCAGGGTTCTGTGGTCTGGAGTGAGTATCTGCATTTGTGTCAAGCCTCCCCAAGTGATTCTGATACCTACTATACTGTAACTCTTTACCGGTGTTATGACTGCATATTAAAATCAGGGAATTTTTAATAGTCCTAACACACAGGCTGCACCGTAGACTAGTTGAATCAGAATTTCTGGGTGTTGGGACAGAGGGATCAGTATTTATAAAGCCTCCTAGGGGGTTCTGTGATATAAATCCCACATACAGAACCATTACTGTGTACTATGCAAATAGTTCTTGAATGCCACTGACTGAAGAACTCACTGAAAACAGATATTCGGTTGGTCTTAAATGGGATAGAGCATCTACATTTTTTTAATGCTGTCCAGGTAACTGTCATGGGTAATGGAAATTACACATAATCCCACAGTTTTACTGAAAAAACAGAAGAGAAAACTTAGTTCTGCAATTACTTGCAATTTTTACTATGAATTCTTCTGGCATTCTTACTGTGTTTCTGTTAACTTATTTGTATACGATTAAATTATTTTTAACCTTTTTTCTGGATTGTTTATGTTTGTTAAATATAAACATACAAAAAATTATCCAAAATGGTAACTCAGCTCAATGATACATCACAAAACAAACAAACGTTTAACCATTACATACCCTAATAAGTACAATTTAAAGAATAGAACATTGTTAGCAACTTGCAAAATGCCAATCCTAATCACTGGCTATCCAACTCGGAAGAGTGACTGATGTCCCTGAAGAGTGACTTTGATGATAATCACTTCCTTGCTTTTCTTCATACTTTAACCACCTAAGCAGGCATCCATAATTTAGTTTTGCCAGGTTTTAAAAGCATTATATAAGTGGATCGTACTGTACATATTCTTCTGCATATGACTTCTTTTACTCTGTGTTTGTGTTGTCCATGTCCTCGCATGTAGCTGTGGTTTGTTCATTTTCATTGCTATCTAGTAGTTCATGGTATTAATATGTAAAAATGTATCCATTTCAATGTGACTGGGCATTGTGATTTGCAGTTTGTACCTGTTGTAAATGCTCCTATCAATATTATGGTACAATTGTGCATGTCTCTTGGTGGGTGGTGCCTACATTTCTGTTAGATATATACCTATGAGTGAAATGGCTTGGTCCTAGGGTGTGTGTATGTTCAGCTTTGATACTGCTAAACAGTTTTCCAAAGTTCCTATCCTTGTTTACACCCCCACCAAGAGTGCATGAAAATTTGAATAGTTTACAAATACTTGGTGTATTTTGTTTTTTTTTCATTTTAGCCAGCCATACTGGTGGCATCTCATTGTAGTTTTAATTTGCCTTTCACTGACAGCTGATTTTATATGTTTATTTGCCATATGAATATTATTTTTTGAGAAGTGCCCATTCAAGACTTTTGCCCTTGTTTATATTTCTTTGGTTAGTTCTTTTTGTGTTCTTTTAAGGCAACTTTTGCATACCCCAACTTCATGAAAATATTTTCCTATATGCTAGAGGTTTTACTTTTCACATTTAGATATAGGATCTATATGGAATTGATTTTTGTGTGTAGTATGAAGTAAGGTCAAGTTTTTTTTTCTTTTCTCTCTCTTTTCTTTTCTGTAATAGGGCTATCCAGTTAACCCAGCATCATTTATGGAAAATAGTTTACTTTTTCCACTGCACTGTAATGTCATCTTTGACATATACCAAGTGACTATACATTAGTCTGTTTGTAGACTCTTTATTCAATCCCTTTGGTCCATTTCTCTGCTCTTGCAGTCAAACCACATTGCTTACATTTCTATAGTTTATAGTAACACTTGATATCTGGAGTGCTATGATCTGAATATTTGTGTTCCCCCAACATTCATATGTTGAAATCCTAACCCCCAAGGTGATAGTATTAGGAGGTCGTCCCTTTCGAGGTGATTAGGACATGAAGGTAGGACGCTTTATTTTTATTTTTATTTTTTGAGACGGAGTCTTACTCTGTTGCCAGGCTGCAGTGCAGTGGCGCGATCTCGGCTCACTGCAACCTCCACCTCCCGGATTCAAGCAATTCCCCTGCCTCAGCCTCCTGAGTAGCTGGGACTACAGGCGCACGCGACCATTCCTGGCTAGTTTTTTGTATTTTAATAGAGATGGGGTTTCACCATGTTAGCCAGGATGGTCTCAATCTCCTGACCTCGTGATCCGCCTGCCTCAGCCTCCCAAAGTGCTGGGATTACAGGCATGAGCCACCGCACCCAGCTGGTAGGATACTTTTTGAATGGGATTAGTGCCCTTATGAAAGGAGACTCCGGAGAGCTAGCTAGCCCCTACTATTATGTGAGGACACAGCAAAAAGACAGCATTCTGTCAAATTAAATATATTCTATAAGTTCTGTAGAATTTTTCTCACCATGAGAGCATTTAAGATGGAAAAATATATGGAAACTCATCTGTTACAAATTGAAATTGTTACAATAGTTAATTCAAAAATGAGAATGTAGATATCAATCCAATTTTTACTTAAATTGATTAGAAATTAAAATAGACTAATGATAAATTGGATAAGAAAAGTAATTTAGAACTGAAGACTTCAGTAACTTAAAACCTGTGTTGGAGCAAATCAAGTGCTTACCTTTACAGAGTACTAGGGACCCTTTAAAAACTCTTTGAAAAGCCACATTTAAGAAAACCAACAGTATCAATATACTAAAACGAAATCAAGTAAACTTTTTTATGCTTTCCCTTATAGGTGCGTGGAAGTGGTGAAAGCTTCTCAATATGTAGAGCTAGCCAATGATCTGGAAATAAACAAAGCAGTCACATACTTGAGACAAAAGGACTATAACCAGGTAAGTTTTAAAAAACTTTTCAGATGGAATTCCATATCTTAATTGGTCAAAGCAATAAAAACAGGGAAACTCCTTTCTGGAATAATGTTATCTGTGATTATTCTGAAGTTTAATATTTTTATTTCTATTTTATCATAATTTTCATTAAAGTAGTTTTAAACTTTTATTAATTTTTGTCTGTTGTTTCTTTTTTTTTTTTTTTAGACAGAGTCTTGCTCTGTTGCCCAGGCTGGAGTGCAGTGGTGCGATCTCGGCTCACTGCAAGCTCCGCCTCCCGGGTTCACACCATTCTCCTGCCTCAGCCTCCCGAGTAGCTGGTACTTTAGGCGCCCGCCACCTCGCCTGGCTAAGTTTTTGTATTTTTAGTAGAGACGGGGTTTCACCGTGTTAGCCAGGATGGTCTTGATCTCCTGACCTCGTGATCCGCCCACCTGGGCCTCCCAAAGTGCTGGGATTACAGGTGTGAGCCACCATGCCTGGCCGTTGTTTCTTAAAATGTAAATACTTTCTTTGTATAGCATGGTTGCTAAATTATAAACCATATTCTATTCCGGAGATTAACTTTCCCCTAGAGGTTTTCAAAGTGTTCCCCAAAGCATAAAGTTTTTAGGAACACTGATTATGCTAGGGAGCATGGGAAGCTGGGAGCCTGCCATCCTCACCAGAGCAGCTTCCTTATAGTCTGTTTTTTGTGTTTGGTTTCCTCATTGACACTGCATTGGGAATGGAAGGGTCCATACATGGCTGTATGGGGTTTTAGAACTCGCAGATCTCTCACTGGCACTGCTGCTCCCTTGCTACCTTGGGTGGGGGTAGAGTGGGTGCTCCCCCTTCAGCAGTCTCTCAGTTAGGACAGAGCTGACACACAATCAGGAGGCTTAGACAGCTGTAAGAAAGAGGGATAACCAAAGAGAGTGAACAGAATGACTTGATGTCCTAGTCTGTAACACCAGTGGTTAGTGTCATTATATGCCAGCACCTAGAACACTCAGCTCTTCCCAATTAGATCCAGAGAGCAAGGACCAGAGAAAGCTGCAGCGTCTTTCCCACATCCTCTCCCAAGCCTGTGCTTTCAGGTTGTCTTCCTATTTAGAGAACTTTTTGCTCTGGGAGACAACAGAAAGGACTAACAAAGGAAGTGGGGAGAATACTATCTACTCAAAGAATATGAGAGTAGAAAAAAGCAACCCTAGTGTTCATGAAATACATATATATAATTAATGTAGTACTATGGGGTGGTTCCATGGCATATGTTAATTTACTGAGCTTAATTTTTTGAGCATTTACAAAACATTTGAAAAAGACTTTTCAAAGTATCCTGTCATTTGATCATCACATCCTTGGTCATGAAAAATGCCTCCAGTGACTCTCTAACGTTGTAATGCTTTTTATATGGAAGTGATGTGAATCAAATTGGTCTTTATTATCTTGCTAAAGTGCTATATGGACAAAAAAATTGTGTGTGTGACATGTACTGTTATAGATGACAAAATGGAGAAAACCATGTTTGCACAGTTTTCCTTTGACATTTTATTTTTAAATGATCTTTTTAGAAAGGGTTAAGAGGCCGGGCGTGGTGGCTCACACCTGTAATCTCAGCACTTTGGGAGGCCGAGGCGGGTGCATCACCTGAGGTCAAGAGTTTTGAGACCAGCCTAACCATTATGGTGAAACCCCGTCTCTACTGAAAATACAAAATTTAGCCGGGCCTGGTGGTGTGTGCCTATAGTCCCAGCTACTCGGGAGGCTGAGACAGGAGAATTGCTTGAACCCAGGAGGTAGAAGTTGCAGTGAGCTGAGATCCCACCATTGCACAGAGCGAGACTTGATCTCAAAAAAAAAAAAAGGTTAAGAATGCATTATCATAGCTCATGTTTTAAAACTATGTTTATTAAGCAATAAACACTAATTTTTAAATGTTAAAACCTATTGAACTCAGATCTTACTATCTGTGCTTTCCTAGCTATTCTCGTTCAAAGTATCTTATGTTCCATTTGCATTTTCAAGTTTTTAATATCAATTGGTTTACTGATTTTTTTAAAATGCCATTTCTGCTTTCTTTTCATCATTGCTGCTTTCACTCTTTCTTTTGTTTGTATATTGTAAGTATTATGAGGTGGGTATAATACAATCTTAGTTTGAAAGAAATGTTATTAAGTGAAAAAGGATTAGGTTGATGTATCTCATAATAATCATTTGATGGCAACTACTTTATTTACAATTCAAAGTGAAAAAGAAAAATTTATGTCTTCTGTGAGGATGTAGTTCTGGAGTTAGCTCTAAATACTTTTTTTTTTTTTTCCAAGAAAAAGATGCTGAAATCACAGAGTATGGGTCTTTTTGATAATGATGGTGTTTGTAGCCACTTTTGTAATTGAAAAAATAGACTCTGCCAAAAAGCCCAAAGTGGATGAAATGAAGCCATTGGCCTGGAGGCCAGTTTCGGTGTAGGGGCGGGCTCAGCGGAATGCTGAAGCCGGGAGCTAGATGGCATCAGCTGGGAAAGGAGACCAGGACAGACACAGATCCCTTTTCCTCGTCGTTTTCAGGGAAACAAACAGACAAGCTAACATTGTTTATTTTTATTTTTTGTTTTGCCATTTTGACTGCACTTTATCAGTTCCGTTTATAAATAAACTTAGAATATTCTTTTAAAAACAAATATTTTTTATAGATTTATGGACGTGTAGAGAACAGTTATGAAAACAGCCTATTTCAAAACAAAAACTTGAGCCAAAAAATACCCGAGAGTGTTCCCTTTATTAGAATAATTATGTAGCCTTTTTAGAATAGATCATAGTTTAGAAACGTATGATATGAAGTGTTTTTAGTTTGTCACGTGATATCCATTTAGGATGTTTTAAGTTGTAAATACCTTTGCCAAGTTTTTTAAGTAATAGTTTTGGATTGCACTGTTTTTTGGATTCATAATAACCATTTTGGGAGAAAACAGATTTGATGTTAAATATAGCCTTAAAGTATTGTTATTAATGAGTTACAAAGTAGTATATATCAAAATTTAAAAATTTAACACATTTCCTTGATTATAATGTAAATGGCCGCTTCTAAAAGGAATGATACAAAGGACTATAACACTCCTTTTTTTTTAAAAAAATTGTTTTTATTGCTTGTTAGCATTCTTTTTGTTTTGTTTTGTCGATGTTGTAGAGAATAGCTTTCTTTTCCTGTACACTTTGGAGAGTTTAATGGGTATATGAGTTATACCTGTCCAAGTGCCTTATATTTTAAAGTAATATACCATTTATTGTGACACAGTCTAAAAGTGAAGATTAAACTATCTCAATTCTTATTTAAAGTGAAATGCAGCTTATAAAACTTAGAGATTCAAAACAGTGGTAGCTTTTATATTAATAGTTGTGGAGGTTGTATAAAGAATCAGTGAGGTAGTTTCTATAGGATAAGCAGTATTAGCAGCAATTATTTTTTAGATAAATTTAAGGAACTTGTGGCAGTGTTATAAAATCTTTCCAAGAAAGCAAATGATAGAATCTTTTTTTTTTTTTTTTTTTTTTGAGATGGACTCTCGTTCTATAGACCAAGCTGGTGTGTGGAGGCCGGATCTCAGCTCACTGCAAGCTCCGCCTCCCGGGTTT